TTCTTGGTTATTCTGGGTGAGAGTTGTTTTGTAATTTAGTTGTAATTTTTGCTGTGATTATGCAAAGAGACAAGCCTTGTTTACCTATGCCTCCGTCTTGACCAGAAGTCAGTATTTCAGGGTCTTAATAGCAAAAGAGATTAGGCTGTAGGTGCCATTTAAAGTTTTATAAATAAGTGGAGATAAAATGTGATTATAGGAGTCTCAGGTATTTCAATAATTGCTGTTGAAAACAAGTTTCCTTATTCACAAGTGTGGACATGCTAATAAAATGTATGATTTTTTTTAAACAGTGAAAAGTTATGCCTGACCTAATTAATAGAGAGGGGAGAGGAAGATAGGGGAGTAGAGTAAGAGGGTGATGATGGAAGTCAGTTTAAGTTTCAACAGAATCTGCTATGTGCCTGAGAGACCCTGGCTCACAGCCTGCCCCTCCTTGGTGATGAATTTTCCTGTTGGTTTGGATACTCAAAATGTTTTGTTCAGCACAGCCTACCAAACTACAGAGATTGACAGTGACGAAAGAAAAAGAAATGCCTGCAGGTCTTGATTTATAGCGAAGAAAACCTGTCTTTATGGGAAGTCTCCCAGCGGACTGGAGACACCCCTAATTTTGACACCTAGAGACTGTGACATGTACACATTCTTCATGGCAGATTTCTTTAAGTAGGCTATTTCATTTTTGGATGGTCGCCAGAAGTTAAGTCCAGAAGTGACCTGACATGAGGGAAGGTGCTCCAGCCAGATTCTAATCTTTGCTTCAGTGGAAAAGGCTAGGAGGAAGAATTCCCCAAATAAACAGAACTTCAATATATTGTTATTGCCCAGTCTGTCACCTTAGTGACAGGAAAGCGTGAGGGGGCCGGAGGTATCGTTGTTAGTATGAACAGTTCCTCCACCTAACAAATGTGTGTGTGTGTGTGTGTGTGTGTGTGTGTGTGTGTATATATATAAGGAAATACTTTCCTAATGTAAGGAAAGTTTGGTAGAAAACTTCCTAGAAACAGCTGGTTTATTTCCTAAATACAGTGGCTGTTTTTCTTATTTTGTCAGGCAGGTAAGAGGCAGCTGTAGAATATTGTGTTTGAAGAGAGACCCTTGAGAGTAAGTTATGTCAATATCTGAGATGCTGAGGCAGCTCCTTGTGGTGACCGGCTACAGCCTTGAACCCTGCTATCCCCTACCCCGGTGCCATCACCCGCCCCCTGAGTGAGGCTGAGCTGTTGGCTCAGTTCACTGGAGGGCCTTCTCTGAGTGTATATACAGGAGGCAGCAGTGTCCTGGGGTCATGACTGATGGCCGAGTGGGTCTGGCTCCCTCACCAGGTAAAAGCTCCACCAGGAGGGCGGGCTGCCCTACATACCTGAAGGCTTATTTCCTGAGAGCCTCTAGAGTGGTGGGTGGTGATGGTATAAATTCTGTTTAGGGGAGGTGTTTCTGAAACTTTAGTCTGGGGGCCAACTGCCCAGCTGTATCTGGGGTACGTGTTACAAATGCAGGCTCCCAGTTCCATACCTCTTACCTGGGATTCAGAATGTCTGGTGTAGTAATTCTGATGCACAGTAAGGTTTGAGAAACTACTGGCTTAAAGTATACTCACATGATGTACCTACTACACAAGAGGTCATCTTATTGCAGGGAGTTTTGACTACTGTTTGTCCCCTTATCTTACAAATTCATTTATTCAACAGATATTTATAGAATGCTTATTGTGTGTCAGACACTGAGCAAGGCAGTGGAGTTATAACAGGGAAAAACATTGACATGGTTTTTACCCTCATGGAATGGAGGGGAAACAAGTAAATAAATTAATAATTATGATCGGAGCTATAAAGGCCACAGTAGGACATTGTAATAGACTATAATGGAGGGAGGAGCAGCAAGTATTTAAAATAGAAAGAAGGTTAGAGAAGGTCCTCTTTGAGGAGGCAGCAATTACATTAAGACTTAGATGAAAAAGGAACTGGACAGATAGGAACATGTTAGGCAGAATAAAAAATGTGTACAGAGGCACTGAGACAGGATCAACCTTGGCCCTGTTTAAAGGGAAAAAAGGCCAGAGTGGCCGATGCCCAGTGAGCCAGGGGAAGAAAAGACGAGGGAGATTAGGCGGGTAGGCACCCAGATCACCCAGGCTCCTGAGGACCAGGGGAATTTGTAATAGACTGAGAAAGGTGGGGAATCAGGTGCTTGGAAATTAGAAGTTTGGAGTTGAAAGGCCTGGTTTGGGACAAGAATGTGGGAATCACCAGCATTTCAATAGAGAGCCATCCGAAGGATTAATCTAATCTAGGAAGAGGCTGCAGAGGGAGGATAGACAAGAGCCTGGTAAAGAAAGGAGTAGCCAGCAAGAGGAGAGGCGGGAAGGTAGGGGGAAATCAGGAGACTGCAGGTCTTAGAAGCCGTGAAAGGAGAATGCTCAAAGAGAGCCAGTCAAATGTGTCATTTCTGTTAAAGGTCTGCAACCACACAGTATTTAGTAGCTGCTATCTGCATATTGGCTGTTGAGCACTTGAATATGACTAGTGCAAATTTAAATGTTCTACAAGTGTAAAACAAAATGCACACCATGTATACGTAAAACTAATACAATGGTATATGTCAATTATATTTCAATTAAAAAATGCACACCAGACTTCAAAGACTGAGTACAAAAACAAGAATGAAAAAATTGGATTATTACTTTTTAAAGTAGTGATTACATATTGAAATGATAATATTTGGGATATATTGGGTTAAATAAAACACACTCTTAAAATTTCAACTGTTTTTATTTTTTAAAAATATGCCTACTAGAAAATTTAAAATTGCACTTGTGGCTTGCGTCCTATTTCTGTTGCGTTTGTTAGTGTGGAAGTCATTCACAAACTTTTTAAAATATATATTTTATTGATTATACCATTACAGTTCTATTTCCCCCCTTCATTCCCCTCCACCCTGCACACCCCCCTCCTCCACCATTCCCCCCTTTAGTTTATGACCACGTGTCTAAAGTTCTTTAGATTCTATATTTCCCATACTATTCTTGCCCTCCCCCATCTATTTTCTATCTACTGTCTATGCTACTTATTTTCTGTACCTTCTCCCCCCTTCTCCTCCTCCCACTCCCCTGTTGCTAACCCTCCATATGATCTCCATTTCTGTGGTTCTGCTCCTGATCTAGCTGTCCTCTTAGTTTGCTTTTGTTTTAGGTGTGGTTGTTAGTAACTGTGGGTTTGCTGTCCTTTCACTGTTCATCTTTTTTATCTTCTTTTTCTTAGATAAGTCCCTTTAACATTTCATATAATAAGGGCTTGGTGCTGATGAACTCCTTGAATGTGATCTTATCTGAGAAGCACTTTATCTGTCCTTCCATTCTAAATGAAAGCTTTGCTGGATAGAGCAATCTTGGATGTGGGTCTTTGGATTTCATGACTTGGAATACTTCTTTGCAGCCCCTTCTTGCCTGTAAGGTCTCTTTTGAGAAATCAGCTGACATTCTGATGGGAACTCCTTTGTAGATGACTATCCCCTTATCTCTTGCTGCTTCTAGGATTCTCTCCTTCATTTTAATCTTGGCTAATGTAATGATGATGTGCCTTGGTGTGTTCCTTCTTGGGTCCCACTTCTTTGGGACTCTCTGAGCTTCCTGGATTTCCTGGAAGTCTATTTCCTTTGCCAGAATGGGGAAATTCTCCTTTATTATTTGTTCAAATAAGTTTTCCACTTGTGGCTGTTCTTCTTCCCCTTCTGGTACCCCTATAATTCAGATGTTGGAACGTTTAAAGATGTCCTGAAGGTTCCTAAGTCTCTCCTCATTTTTTCAAATTTTTGTTTCTTACACTTTTCTGTTTGGTCATTTTTTTTCCTCCTTCTGATCCACTCCTTTGATTTGAGTCCCAGTTTCCTTTCCGTCACTATTGGTTTCCTGTGCATTTCCATTCATTTCAATTAGTTTAGCCTTCATGTGTCCCTCTAAGTTGTGACTATAATCAACCAGTTCTGTGAGCATCCTGATCACCAGTGTTTTGAACTGTACATCTGAAAGTTTTGCTATTTCTTCATCGCTTAGATTTATCGGCTCTGGGGCTCTGAGTTGTTCTTGAGCCATGTTTTGATCTGTTCCTGCCTGTTACGTTCACCAGGGTGGGGCTACCCAGGTCGCTGGTTTGTGATGCTGTATGTGGGGGCAGGGTCAGAGAGGGACAATGGCGGTCCCCTCTGCCACTTTCCACCACTGGGGCCTGCACGGTCTGTCTCACCGCTTCGCTCCTTCAGCGGTTTATCTGCACTCAAATGTGTGACTGTGGTCAGCCCTCAGTGGGTCCACCACCTTGCGCCCTCAGTGGGTCCACCTGCTACTCCACACCTGGGATCTGCCCACGGCTGCCGGCACACCTGGGTTGTACGTCCAGGTTGGTCTGGTGGATCTTTCCTGCCTGACCCTGCTTTGCTGCTGGCTCTGCCTCTCTTACCGGTTTGGCTGAAGGGTTTGTTGTTGTCAGACTTCCGTGTAGTTCAATTTTCTGTGGTTTGGCTGCGTTTTTGTTGCTAAAACTTTGTTGTTTGTAAACTTGGTTGTGTGAGAAGGCACAATGCTTCCACCTATGCCTCCATCTTGGTGGAAGTCTCATTCGCAAACTTTGCGAGTGTAGACTGCCTAAGATGAAGTAACACCTAACAGGTTGTTTATCCACAGAGGAGACTGAATCAGCACCATAACACAAGTAAACACATTAATAATGATGATAAGAGCTATGAAGGGCAACAACAGGATATGCCTAAATTAAGTAATGAAACTCACCACTAAAAATTCTTCTAGACTTTTTGAGATATACATAAGTGATTTAATAATTTCACATACATAGACAAGATAATATGTATTTAAAGTAAATCCTTTGAAATCAACTCTGAAATGGAGTTTTTCAGTGTTTTTTAACCTGTATTTTCCTTTCTTTTTTTGTCTTCTTTCTTTTTATTTAAAATTTATTTTTATTTATTTATTTTGCATATCTGGCCAGGAAACTTCATGGTGTTATGGTCAACTTGCCGCACAACCGTGTTCAAATCTGTCACCAACAGGTTCATTAAAAACCTGGCCTGCTCGGGGATCTGTGCCAGCCTGGTCTGCGTGCCCTTCGACATCGTCCTCAGCACCAGTCCTCACTGTTGCTGGTGGATCTACACCATGCTCTTCTGCAAAGTCGTCAAATTTTTGCACAAAGTCTTCTGCTCTGTGACTATTCTTAGTTTCCCCGCCATTGCCTTGGACAGGTAAGATCAAGTGCCAGGGGCTCGACTTTTTTTAAGTGTATTGAAATATTAGCATCACGAAGCAAGTGGGAAATAGTCATTAGTCCACATCTTAGTCAACTTGTGGTCAACAGAAAGAGAATGAATTGCCAGAACAGAAGCCTCACAATGTTGATTGAACAGCAACTACAGAAAATAGAACCATTGAGAAAAGATGTGACATAGTAGGTCACGTCCTGAGGATGCTGGGCAGAGTGGCTGGATCACGGTGGAGCTTCAGCGTGGTTGGGATTGGTGGTGTTTGTGTTGCCATTTGCAGTAGATAGGCTCATCTGATTGGTAAGTCCACAGTTAGCGCTTTTTGATGTAGGACGAAAACATTCCTAGAAGAACAAGAAAACAGTTCAGTGGTTATTTAATGCATGATTTAATAGTTCAGTGGTTATTTAACGCGTGATTAGTCCACTTGGACCTGGCCAGATAATACCAGAATCCCTTTGGAGGATTTATTTCCAAGGTCACATACTGGCTCGGTTGTTGTTTTCTCTTCCCATCCTCTTTAAGACAATGTTCATTTGGAATGAATCTTGTATCTTAGCTACTGCCATCACATGTAATTTGATCAGATTCATCAAAGTTAAGTGTAAAGATCTCAGTAATCAACAACTTCCTGCCTTTTCCCTTTGTTGCTAGCATGTCCTGAATACATTTGAGATAATACATTTTAGGGAATAGACTTAAATAAGCAAACAAGAAATGAAAAGTATTTTGTGCCCATGAGTACTTTTGATTTCAAGATTTTCAGAGAGGAAAAGTTGCTAAAGGGATAATACTGGCTCTTCTGACTTGATACCCTATGATAAATTTAAATGCATTTTATATGAATTTGGATTTTTAAAACTCTATGTTCATTCAAAACATACTTGATACCTTAATGACTTACGAGGTTATGGATTGTGGAGTCACTCTGGCCTCTCAGGCCCAGAACCCTGAGTGTATTAGCTCAGGGTCATGTGGATGGAGGGTCATTCACATGGAGGACACAGTCACACAAAGCCCTTGCATACTAGGAGAAGTTGCTGGCTTAAGAGAGGGATCCCTGGGGCCTGCCTATATTGCTTTCTGGTTGGACAAAGTGGCTTAACCTTTTTGAGCATCAGTTTCCTCAGCAGTAAGGAAAATTAAATGAATTGTTTGTGGCCTGGACTTGGATGGGTCCCACCAATATTTGCCTCTTCTTCCATAGGCTTTGCTTCTGATTGGCACATTCAGATCTTGCTGTGAGCCACTCTAGCTCTTTGGAATTTTCTCACTAGAAACTCACCATCCATAGTGGCAGAGTAGGCAGGTGACAAATGCAAGAGCCAGGCTGGGGTTGTGTCTGCATTTGTGTTCATTGGGGTCAGTCACTTAACAGATGCACCCAATAGTTGCTTTGTGGCTATCTAAATTTAGTGGGCAGGACTATCTTCTTAGAAGAGAAATCAGAAATCTAGAATTCCGTCATTTTAAAATGTTTGCAATTAATTTGCATTCAAAATACTATGTGAAGCACTCAAATCCTTTCAGCCAGCTGGATGTACACCGTGTGATGCCAGTTTGCCATGGGGGCTTTCCAGTAACGTTGTACAACCCTTCCATACTCCAAAAGAGGCCTTTGAATATCTGGAGAGAGCCATTGCACAGCACTGTGCTATACAGTGAAAAATCAGAGTGAAAAGTCAAATTACATCCTGATGAGTGCCTTAGTGAATTTGGTGTTGGACCGCCTGTGTTTATGGCAGGTGTCCTTTCATCTGTGCCTTAGCTGTACTACCTGCTTAGTGAGGGTTTAACTCTTCTGTCCACATTGTGGATTTTTCTTTTCTGGAAGTTTTAAAAAACATTTTATTGGGACATAATCTATGCATCACATAAGTCACCCATTATAGGTGAACAAGTCAATGAATTTTAGTATCTTTGTAGAACTGTGCAGCCATCACCACAGTTGAACTTTAGAACCAGCTCATTACCCTAGAAAGAAGCCTCCTGCTCATCACACTCACTCTCCATCCCCACCCCCGGACCCAGGAATCCACTAATCTACTTTCCATCTCTATGTGTTTGCTGGTTTTGGACCTTTCATGTAAGGTCCATACTGCAGTGGAATCATGCAGTATGTATTCTTTTATGTCTGGATTCTTTAACTCAGCATAATGTTTGCAAGGCTCATTTATGTGGTAGCATGTATCAGTACTTCATTCCTTTCCTTCTTCAAGTTTAATGGCACTGTGTAAGTTTAAGGTGTATAGCATAAAGAACTTACATGCATTGTGAAATGATTGCCACAATAAGTTTAGTTGACATCCATCATCGTATACAGATACAAAAAAAAGGAATTTTTTTAATAATGAGAACTCTTAGAATCTACTCTTATAACAACTTATTCTTGTTTATTGCTGAATAATAATAGTTCATTATATGGTTCTACCACATTTTGTTTATCCATTTACTAGCTGATGGAAGTCAGGTTGTTTCCATTTTTTGGCTATTATGAAAAATGCTGATATGAATCCTGGAAGTTTTTTAAGAGTAGGATTCAACAAGAGTGGGAACACATTATTTTGAATACTTTTATAGCTGGAATCAATGCAGTAATAACAGTGAGTTATTTCTAGGCACTTGGGCTTAGAGGGGAAAATATGCTAGCCATAAGAAATCCTTATTTTCTTTTCATCAGAAAATCTACTATATATTTGCCATTATTATTTTTAAAGGGTAAACAAGTCCTTTTAGTAGAAAAATGAGGCCAGCAGGTTCCTATTTTATTACTCAGAGGTACAGATTACCTGTAAGCTTAAGTGTGTTGTGCATGAAGATGAAGGGAGGACGATCCTTTTTCTCACTGCTTTCTCAGACTTCTGTTATCACAGCACCGAGTCAGCAAGTTGATTGGGAGGCCATACACTTCCTGCATTATTTTCTAGAGATGTACACACTTAACAAAATTATTTATGGTGAGCCTGTGTGCTCGTGTTGCAGTCTATTTGCCGATACATAACAGGAGCAAAAATGGCCGGATGCCTGGGTCGATTATCCACCAGTTAGAAGAGAGGAATCAGACAGTGGACTCCTGAGCATGTATTCATGTGTGGGTGCCAGGCCTTCACATTGTATTTACAGAGTTGTGATAAAGAAAACTTTATCTATATTCAGAGAAATAAAATTGAGAGCATGCATAACTTTCGCATTTTTTCTCCTTTCCCCCTCCCAGACAGAGATCTAGAACACACTGTGCTCCACACATCTCTGATCATCCACGGTCTTGTTGTGTTTGCATCGTGTCTCCCCCAGCTGGCCCCCCCGCCAGACTCCACCAGTGCCACCTTCTCTTGACATTGTCCCAGGTGCTCCCTTTCCCAAACCTCTGTGCATACCTCTAATAGAGCTATCATCTCCTCATTTATAACTGTTCGTTTGCATGCATTTTTCTTCATTAACTTTAGAAACATTCCTGTATGTCCTTTTTTCTTTGTAACCTGGTGCCTGGCACTTAGGTGGTGCTCAGAAATCCTGTGACAGGAAAGCTTGCATGCTTACCTGGCCCTGGTGTGAACGAATGTTAACAGGGTTGTAAGGTGACTCCAGCATTAGCTGACTGAAGCAAAGTGGGCAGAGCTCATCTCTGGTAATCACCATATCTCTGATGGCTAGTGGCAGCCCTTTCCTGACAGAGGTGGCCCTAGGGTCTGAAGAACTACTCATTTCCACCAAACCATGGCTGATACGGAAACAAGGTGCTTTTGGAATTCTGATTAGGTGGTTGTAGAATAATCAAGTTACACTTGAAGAAAAAGAAGTTTATCATGCAGGCATTTCAGACCCATTAATTGTTTTACTATTAGGGTTACTAAATGATTATTATTGGAACAATAACTATTGAATAGACATAATTAAATTGTTTTTTATCCTTATCTGAGGACATTTATTTTCAATGCTTTCAGAGACAGGGAGAGAAGAAGGGAGAAACATTGATGTGAGAGGGAAGCATCTATTAGTTGCTTCCTATTTGCACCTGGACCTGGATGGTAGCCTCCAGATCTGGAGGCAGAGGGGAGTCAGGGATCAGACCTGCAACCTCTCAGTTATAGGACGATGCTCCATCCAACTGAGCCACACCAGCCAGGGAGATCAGGCATAATTTTTGTCACTAGAGTTTGTGGAAGGACTTTGTTAGAGTCTATCCTTTGTATTGGGTTCTGCCCCAAGCAGCTATAAAGTTACTCTATACATATGCTGCTTTGGAAATGCGTGCAGACAAATTTCTTTATGTTACTGGCTTCGAAATTTGCCCTAAATCTTCTGTGGCCCATGGAAAATCTTTTTACAAATTACCATTAAATTGAAAAATAAATGTCTTTACAGCAGATGGAAGCAGTCTTTATATTGAGAGCACTTTTTGGGATTTAATCCTGGTGGCAATAATTATAAAGCCAGTTATGAATTGTACAGCAAAGTCCTCAAAACTGAAGGTCTGGCTACCTAATTCCCCCAGTGGTTCCCTCTTTCTTAGGCAGAATGAAAGAACTCGACCTTTTTTCCAGTCTCTCCTACTTTTGGTAACATAGATTGCCCTAATTTAGAGCATTATTTTCTCCTGTGAAATGAATTTTGCGTGTGCATTTTGCAGGTACTACTCCGTTCTCTATCCGCTGGAGAGAAAAATATCTGATGCCAGGTCCCGTGAGCTGGTGATGTACATCTGGGCCCATGCAGTGGTGGCCAGTGTGCCAGTGTTTGCAGTGACCAATGTGGCAGACATCTACGCCATGTCCACCTGCACCGAAGCTTGGAGCAACTCCTTAGGCCACCTGGTGTATGTTCTGATCTATAACATCACCACAGTCATTGTGCCTGTGGCCGTAGTCTTCCTCTTCTTGATACTGATTCGACGGGCCCTGAGTGCCAGCCAGAAGAAGAAGGTCATCATAGCAGCCCTGCGGACCCCACAGAACACCATCTCCATCCCCTATGCCTCCCAGCGGGAGGCTGAGCTGCACGCCACCCTGCTCTCAATGGTGATGGTCTTCATCTTATGTAGCGTGCCGTACGCTACCCTGGTCGTCTACCAGACTGTGCTTAATGTCCCTGACACTTCTGTCTTCTTGCTGCTCACTGCCATTTGGTTGCCCAAGGTCTCCCTGCTAGCGAACCCTGTGCTCTTTCTTACTGTGAATAAATCTGTTCGCAAGTGCTTAGTAGGGACCCTGGTACAGCTACACCAGCGGTACAGTCGCCGTAATGTGGTGAGTGTAGGGAGTGGGCTGGCTGATGCCAGCCTGGAGCCCAGCATGCGCTCAGGAAGCCAGCTCCTGGAGATGTTCCACATCGGGCAGCAGCAGATCTTTAAGCCCACGGAGGATGAGGAAGAAAGCGAAGCCAAGTACACTGGCTCTGCTGACCTCCAGGCCAAGGTGATACCTAGCACCTGCCTGGAGGGCGAGCAGCGGCCACAGTTTGCACCCTCTGTGCCGCCTCCGGGGACAGTGGACTCTATATCCCAGGTGGCACCAGCAGCCCCTGTGGAACCTGAGATGTTTTCTGGCAAGTATTCCCTGCAGTTTGGTTTTGGTCCTTTTGAATTGCCTCCCCAGTGGCTCTCAGAGACTCGAAACAGCAAAAAGCGGCTCCTTCCCCCCTTGGGTAACACCCCAGAAGAGCTGATCCAGACAAAGATGCCCAAGGTAGGCAGGGTGGAGCGGAAGATGAGTAGAAACAATAAAGTGAGCGTTTTTCCAAAGGTGGATTCCTAGGAAAGATTGAAAGTCCCTGGAAGTAGCAGGGAGTTTCCTCACTCTGGCCCACCCTCTGCTCTGGCCCTGTGATTCCTGTGATCTCATTGCAACCCAGAATGGGTTGACTTCCTGTCTGGGCCAAATGCTTCTGAGTGAGAGGGAAATCTACTCAAAATCAGATGTCTTCTTTATGGAGGGAGTGTGTATATGTATATATAATTTTTAGTGGTCCATGTCCTTAGTAAAGCCTGTGTTCCTCTCTGTGGAGACAGACATTGGGCATTATAGATTGGGTTTTGGGGTTGTTACCCCATTTATCTTTCCTGGGGATCCTCAGTTATCTGTGTCCAGCAGAAAATACACAGAGAGGATAGTGTCCATGAGGTCAAAGGGAACGGGGCCACTCCAGGGGAAACCCAAGATAACTATGGAATGCTGTGGCCACAGAGAAAATGCCTATTTGATGTATCTAACTTTGACAAACATATTAAAATTGTTTAACATTGATCCGTATCTTGAGGGAAGATAGAGGTTTGGCACTTGACACTTTTTCATATGTCTGGCAGTTTCTCCTGATGCCTGTCGTCCCTTTTACTGGGTTATGGATAAAGAGTGGCTCTTCCGCCCCCATCTGACAGGCCTGAGGGTGAGGGAGATCTGTCCTTCACTCTCCCGACATCCTCGGGGCATCCCTCAGAAAGACATGTCTGCCATTTGGGCTGGAAAACACGGCAAGCTCTTTACTGTGTCTTTCCCTCTTCAATTATGTTTTGTGTCTTTTCTTCAACAAAAGAGAGAAGCTTACGTGGAGAAGACAGACCAGAATGTCCGCACACTGTGAATCCCACCTGCAGGATGCTAGGGAGCAGTCATGAGGAGTGAAGTATGTTGGAAAAAAATTATCTCATGCAAACTTTTGGAATTCAGAGGTCATTTTAAAATGCAAAGTTAGTGTAAAGTGGGTCCTCTGGAAACATCAAGCTAAACCTACTTGACTAGGAAAGGTGAGTCTGCCCAAAAGAGTGGGAGAAGGCTGACAAAAAGGGCTCTTTGGAGGAGGGCTCCAGACACAGGCTGGCCAGTCTCCTTTTCAGTCTGTGCAACTGTGGTCTGCCTTCCTTTTGGACAAAAAGAGGGTGGGAACAGGAAGAAAGAGTTCACTGTAAAATGCCAGGTCCACAAACACATAGCCCAGGTGAGCTCCCTGCTTCCTCTTTTCCGATGAAGTTTTAGCCAGAGCCAGAGTGGATAGAAGAAGGAGGACAGTGCCCTCAAGTGATTAGACCCTGGGGGCTCTCACAGGCAGTTCAGGGCCACTCTGTGTGTATTTCACCAGGCTGAGTTCAAACCATAGACGACACTTCACTCTTACTGAGTGCACGCCGAGGGCCAGCACTGCTCTCCTCTCTAGGCTGTTTTGTTTTTGTTAACAGTAAGTAAGGGAGTCCATCCAGTGCCTTGCATGAGCTTGAAGGGAAGTAGGCCTTCTTACTGCACACTTCCACATCCCGAAGGCAGGGTCCCCAGGCGTCCCCATTCCTGTAACCACACTGGTCCTTGTCCTTCGGAGGAAGCCCAGACTATGTGTAGGGAGTCTCCTTTTCCTGCCTTCTCCTAGGTGTGAGGTCTTGTAATTGCTGTATGTAAACCCAAAGACCCTTCCCCTGCAGAGGCAATGCCTTCCTGTGTGTGCTTCGTCTCCTCAGAGTGTTGTGTGCGCACAGCAGAAACGGGGGCGGCCACACCCTCCCCCGAGGCCTCTGCCGCCCAGGCCCTCTGTGCATGCCACCTCCAGCGTCTTGCCCTGACAGTTGAAATGTGGCCCTTCAAGCTTATCTTTCAGAACCTTCACAGTTGTCACAACTTTCATCAAGGGGCAACATAATCTGTTAGAAAACTCTGCTTTAGAAGAATCTGTCAAATGCAGCCACTTTGGTGTTGTTCTGATTATATATACGTACAACAATAAATGCTGATGAGGCAGAATTTGGTAGGTGTTTCTTCTGTATGTTAGAAGCAGACGGGTGACATGTAGCAGTCACTGCCAGGTGTATTTCTATACTCTGAAGAATTACATTTTAATAAAAAATTGAAAAGCTTTTTCTGAACTCAAAAAATATTGTATGAGCTTTGTGTTTTTTGTTTTTCCTTTTCCCTCAAGTGGTATACACTGTCTGAATCGCTGTCTTCCTACACACTGTCAGCTGCAAGGTGTTCATTCAACTCATAAATACAGATGCAACCTTGCAGGAACATTTTCTTGTATTGTTGCAAATTAGAATGAATTCTCAAAGGAGAAACTGTGATGTCTAAATGAATGGCACAAACACAGGTTCCAAGTTGAGTCAGTGGAAAGAGCGCCCCTCTCCAGGGGGGAGGGGCGTGCAGCCGTCATCCTCCTTCATGTGCTGGGTTTGATAGCACGTGGTTAGGGCCGTGGGCTCTGAGGCCAGGTGGCCCATGTTTGAGACCTGGTTCTGCCACTGGCCAACCTTATGACCTTGAGCAGGCGAGGTAACCGCTGTGTACCTTGGTTTCCTCTCTGTGAATTGGGAGGATACTCACTGTGTCGGAAGTCTTTTGCCATAACTCATGTACCTCACCTCTGATTGCAGCCATCTCTTCAGTGGGCCGTGGCTGGCTGCAGCCGCTGTCTTCCCTGAGAACGCTCAAGGCCTAGCTCCTTTGCTTTCTTCCCGGTGAGAGTTCCCTGGCTCCTGGGTAACCCATGATCAGTGGGGCATGGGGACCAGTAGGTAGATGTTCCTTCCTCCTGTCCTGCTGGACAATTCTGAGAGGCACTTGTCTGTATTTCAGGAGGTCAAGCAGCATTGAGTCCCTGTTGCTCACAATGGTGTCTCAATAATGAACCCCTTTATTGACTTTCTCTTCCTTCCCTGTCTGGGCTTCTCTAGCCTCCACTCATGCCTTCAGGGGTAATCTCCCCAAAACAGTACCACATAAAGTCTTTGTCTCAAGCTCTGTTTTCAGGGGAATCCAAGTGAGATAATAACATACCTCATGGGACAATTGTGAGGATCAAATGGGGTGATCTGTTTTAACATGCCTGTCACAGAGTAAACTCTATCAGTGTTAGTGTGTGTGAACTACATTTTTAAAAAAAAGTGGTTAGGGGGCTTATTTGGAATGTTTCGCATAAAATTATATTAAGCTGGTATTGTCACCAGTCACCTCAATATTAGTGAATATTTATAATGATCCTTTGAGGTGGTACACAGTGCCAAAGGACTGTCTGAATCCCTAAAGAAAAAATAACTATAAGCCAGAATATTTCTTAACCAAACAATTCTCAGTTTGAAAAAAAGGGAGAAATGTTAAAAGTTGTTCAACTTTGCTGTAAACCTTTAAGGCAGACTGTGAATATGAGTGAGCATAATTTACTATACTGGCGAAGTAATAGGCGAGTGGAGTAAGGGCAGGGGTGCAAATCAGAGTGGCCCCACCCACGGAAAAGGAACTGTCAGTTAATCACTTGGGCTAAATAACATCTGGAGGTCAGGCAGGAGTTAGACTGGAGAGTGGAATGGCTGCTGCGTCTCATCAGTTCTGGGAGTTCGGGCCTCTCGGCAGCCCTGCCCCAGGGCGGGGTGGCTGGGCGTAAGCACAGCTGTTGCTGTGTGCTGGGGCTGAGGTGCTCCGGAGGAAGAGGCTGATTTTAGGCTGAATTTTGGTTGAGGGGAAGGGTTAATTAATGCTTTCATATATTGCAGTTTACCAATGTAGCAACATGTAAATAACATTATAGCAAAGTGATTAACTTCCCCCAAATAGTTGTAAACTTTGTATCAACCTCTTGTGCTATGGTAGAGTTCTGTAGTCAAATGAAAAATTATTCATGGTTAATGAATGACCTGAGGATATGTGAATAAAACAGGAATTGGAATCAGTACTAATGCTCAGCAGCATCAAAAGCCTGTTTGTGTGAGCGCGTGGCTTTTAAAAGAAATTGAAATGACCTAAGATTCAGATCCTCCATAAATGAGGTTTTAGAAGCTAAAATATCTCATCTTCTCTTAGCCTCAGGTTCAGCTGGTGTTTTCCCCCCCAATTACAGCAAGGTGATAAGTTGGTAAATATGCAGAATAAAGGCCTGGACACCTTTGTAGAACTGAAACTATAATCTCCAGGATTGTTTTATGTGAACCTGTACAGGTATCTCAGGCATATGTGTTGGGTGTGAAGAATCTTTTTTGTTGTTGTATTGATCAGAATTGAGTGATTAAACCTGTCTGCCTCTTAAATTTCTTGCTATATGCTTGTTTATTGTAGTCTATATACAAAAGGTAGTATACACACAAAGGAGGTACTGGAATGATGTGGTGTACATTTTAAGGCAACAGGTGAGAAAATACAACATACATGGGATAATGCCTTTGAAATATTAACCATGTTCCCTGATGCATCTCATTTCTCTTCCCTCCTTTGCTTTGCTCTTCACATTCATATGCATTACCTCGGGGAAGGGGTTGGGGAAGGCATTCGTTGTCTCAAGGAAAGCAAATAGACTGTGAGTCTTCCCAGTTGTGTATCAGAGCCTGGGTCTTAGGAGAACAGATGGGACTCCTGGGGTAAGCCCAGTGGGTATTTGATAATGGCTGTCAAAATGGGGATGCTACTGGCACCTGGCGGGTAAAGGCCAGGGATGCCACTAAAAATCTTAAAATGCACAGTGCAGTTCTCTACCACTAAGAACGATCTGATCCAAAGTACCTGTAGTACCAAGGTTGAGAAACCTTAGGTTAGCCAGAGGTTTGAGATGTTTGAGGAGGGTGGGACCATCTCCTTTCGGTAGAAAAAACTTCCCTGGAATCAAGGTTAGTGGACAGACTAGGAGCCAGGGGTAAGTGATAAGAGTGCTGACATCTGTACCTTCTGGACAAAGGGGCCCTAATGCCTCCCAGGCAAAGCCCCCCGAGGCAGCAGTACCAAGGCTTGATTAATTGCAGAGGGAACATGCTTTCCAGCTTGTGGAGCCCCAGTGTAGAGTCTGGCTGTGTGTTCACGCAACCAGGGCCTCACAAGCTGGCTCAAAGGTATTTACACGAGCGTCTTAAAAGAAGAAAGCTTCAAGCCCAAAGGTTCAAGTGGACAGGAAGGGTGTGTTGCTGGAGCAAGTGGGGGCAAGAGGTGACTGTGTAGGCGATGACACCAAGGACAGATGTTTCCACACACACACCCCACAGCACCATGGTACAGTGAGAGAGAAGGGAGCCTTGAACATCTGCGGTTATTTCTATTATCCCATCGTCTCTAAATGAAAATCGAGCTATCGCAATAATAATAAAAGGGTTTTTTCACACTGAGTTTTTGGATTGAAGCAATTAGTTTGTACTCAAATGTTGATTGGGGAATTAGGCTTTAAACCCCCTTTCTACTCTGAAATTTTATGCTTCTAGAGCCTATTATTATTATTCTAATTCTACGTACAAATACATGTTTACAAAAACTCTTTTATAGTTTATTTTGCTTTTCTCCTAGCAAAATTTTCATTTACCCTCTGCATTTTTTTTTCATGGAAGAAATGTGGTGTCAACAGGTTTTATATTATACTGTGCTAAGGTCCATACAGAATTGAACTCTGGCCTTCTGTCTGTGCTTGTTTCTCTCAGAGGAAACTCTAGTTTAAGTATATGATTATTTAAAAGGCCAGCGATGAGAGGTATATCTTTCAAAACCCAGCTCTGGAAGATAATACTAAGACTCCAGCCAGTTTAATTAATTAATTAATTAATTAGGCTCTTTTTATTTATTTCTTACATCTTTTTCAATTACAGTTAACATACAATTAGTTTCAAGTCTACTCTCCAGTGATTAGACCTTATATAACTTACTAAGTGATCATCCTAATAAACCTTGTACCCATCTGGCAGCACATGTAATTATTAGAATAGTGTTTTTTAAGGATTTTATTTATTGACTTTTTTAGAGAAAGGGGAAGGGAAAGAGAAAGAGAGGCAGAGAAGCATCGATGCGTGAGAGAGCCATCAACTGATGGCTTCTCCCACACGCCCAGACTGGGGATGGGGACCACACCCCATGCATGTGTGTGCCCTGACCTTGGAATTGAATGTGGGTGACCTTTTACTTTGCAGCAGGATGCCCACTCAACTGAGCCACACCAGCCAGGGCTAGCATAGTATTGTCTATATTTCCTATGCTGGACTTTATACTCCCGTGACTATTCTGGGCAGTCAATTTGTATCTGTCTCTTAATCCCTTCACCATTTTTACCCATCCCCTCGGTCCCCCTCCCATCACAATATTCTCTGTATTTATGGGTCTGGTTCTGTTCTGCTTGTTCATTTATTTTGTTTTTTAAATTCAATTGTTGATCTATATTTACTGCCATTTTATTCATATTTTAAAACATTTTTTCTTATTCTTCTTCAAGAAGCCCTTTAACATTCCACATAATACTGGTTTGGTGGTGATGAACTCCTTTAGCTTTTTCTTATATGGGAAGCTCTTTGATTCTAAATGATAACTTTGCTGGATAGAGTAATCTTGGTTGTAGGTCCTTGTTTTTCATGACTTTGACTATTTCTTGCTCGTCCCTTCTAGCCTGCAAAGTTTCTGTCGAGAAATCAGCTGACAGTCTTATGGGAGCTCTCTTGCAAGAAAATAACTGCTTTTCTCTTGCTACTTTTAGGATTCTCTTTTGTTTATAACCTTTTGTATTTTAATTAAGATATGTCTTGGTGTGGGCCTCTTTGGGTTCATTTTATTCGGGACTCTACACTTCCTAGACTTGTCTATTTCTTTCACCTGGTTGGGGAAGTTCTCCTTCATTATTTTTTTCTGCAACCCCGTGATGTGAATGTTGGTGTGCGTAAAGATGTCCCAGAGGCTCACTGCACTATCTTCATTTTTAAAAATTCTTTCCTCTTTTTGTTGTTCTGATTGGATGTTTGTTTAAGGATTTTATTTATCTTTAGAAGGTAAGAGAAG